ATCTAAGTATAATTCTCAAAACATTGATGCAATGAAATCATCTCTTATTATAAAAGTTAGTCAATAGTTACAACAATCCATACTATTTTTATCCGAAAGCAAGTATAAAACATCATTCAATCTCAAACTTCCAGAAATGATAATTTTAACTCACAAAATTACTCTACCAAAAAAAAGTACTATTGATTTTTTCTTCCACTGAAATTAAAAATTCTTTTTTCTTATAATCCATGATTAATTAACTACTATTGTTATTCAAAGTGGAAATATTCTCTTGTAAGAGAAGGGAACGAGATCATAAACTTGGACAAATGCCCAGAACTACAATCTTTTGCAATTTAATTGCTTATTATCAAAATGTTATATATTTTCACTTGAACTTGTTGCTAAATAAATCGTAATTTCCATTTAAACAATAGTAATGTATTTTCTACTGTTGTTTAAATGAAAACTCCCATTTATTTAGCAAGACATACTGAATACTTGATTTATCATAAAAATTTACCATTCTTAAATTTAAGAATTTTACAATTTAAAATTACTTTGAAACTCTAGTCAACAAAGCAACTATTTGAAGATAAACTTAAAATTATTTTGAAATATGCAAATATTTTATAATTTACATTATTATTGTTTAAATAAAAAACAAAAGCAAAAGAATTAAGTTAAATGAATATATCATATATGAAAATATATTCCTTTTTATCTTCACGAGTCTCTTGCTGTCATACTCACCTGCAGTTTAACAAATTTCTATCTGTGTTCACAATGATTTTGTCATTTTAACAAAATGAGATCTCTCATTTCCCCCCTCTTTCTTTCCCATTTAGTTTCTCTGATTATGACTAAATATTGCAGTAAATGAATCCTGAACTACTTATTGCTATTTTTATTGTAGACGAGATGGTACCAACTCACTGTGTTACAGCTGCCATTTTCGCCTTCTCAATTTTTCACTCTTTTTTTTTTTTATTCTCTTACAAAGAAAAAATTGTACACTTTCTATATATTTCAACTTTTCTCCTGTACTGCATCTGCTTCTTTTTCCTCTTCAAGAGTTTCCATTTTCCTCTCTTTTCTTTTTGTTGCTGCAGATCTGATTTTTTCTGTTTATTCAATCGGACATATTTTTTTATATAAATTTTATTCATATCAAACAGTTCAAGAGTTTACCTTAATGATAATTTATCTTATCATAAACTCTGCAATAATCTTGATTTAATAATAATAATAAAAAAAAGCAGGTCTTAAAAATAAAACTTAAAAGTATTATTTACAGATCATATATTATCACTAAACTTATATTATTTTAAGTTGTTTCAGTTGTATAATAGTTTAAATTTAGTTTTAAATTTTTAATAATATTTTTCAATAGTTTTTGCTTTTGTCATGTATCATATTGACTGACATTTTTTATATTATTTAATTGTACTCAGTAACTACCATATTTTACAGCATATAAGATACTCTGTCCTGAAATGAGCCATGCAATGTCTGACAAACAGTCCCAAATTTTTTTTTTACTGTATTCTGTTTAAAAAAAATTAGAATTCACACTTATTTATCAGAGAAAAAGGAGTTTAAAAGAAGTCATTTACAATTAAAATATTCAATGTACATACATGCAAAAGCCACTTAGCTATGGCATAAAATAAATGTGTTTAATTAATAACAACATTTATACTCAAGATTTGGTCTAAGTAGAGGTTAGCTATAGCCTATTAAAAGCCATTTGGAGAATTCATTAGTCTATGGGAGATTTCAACTTCACATATAAGACAGTGATTTTTCTTAGCTTTTTTGGACAAAAGTTGCATCTTATATATGGTACTAAGCTTTCCTATACTATGTTTTCCTTATCAAATAAAGAATTTAGTTTAAAAATATTGATTGTAAAATATCTGCGGAAGATAGAACAGTAATAAAATAATCTAACCTAAACTTACTTTGATCTGTAGTAATCTTCTAAAAATAATTTTATCCTTAAAATTAAAGAATATTTTCATGTTTCAAGCCAATATGGTTTAAAACAGGAAAATAGAAATCTAACAACATGTATAGCTTTGATATTATAAAAGTCACTATAAACTTATTTGAGCTGTCAAATTAAATGCACAAAAATAATTTTTTCTTTTTCCTTTAACAAACCCAAAAATTATTAATTTCATAACCATTCATTCATGAAACTTAAATACTGTATAATATATTATTAAAACAATGAAAAGTTTAATTATTTATTAAATAGAACAAAAACAATTATGCTCATCAGCTACTTTGCTATAATTTTTTTATACTTATATTAAATATTAATATAAGTTGAAAATATATACAGAGTATTCTATTGAAATTAAAACAATCAAATCAACATTTTTGAAATCCTGTATTTATTAAAATCATTTATAATTTATTAATAGGCAGGTTTAATAATATCACTTTAACTATAATTGTTATTATTAAAAAGATGCTATTAACTATATCTAAGTATAATTCTCAAAACATTGATGCAATGAAATCATCTCTTATTATAAAAGTTAGTCAATAGTTACAACAATCCATACTATTTTTATNAATGCACAAAAATAATTTTTTCTTTTTCCTTTAACAAACCCAAAAATTATTAATTTCATAACCATTCATTCATGAAACTTAAATACTGTATAATATATTATTAAAACAATGAAAAGTTTAATTATTTATTAAATAGAACAAAAACAATTATGCATAGTTCTTTAGCACAACAAAAAACTTTTACATTATTATTAGTTCAATTTTATTGTGAAATACAGTATGAAGTGTCTCTTCAAATATATCAGTTATAATTCTTGATTCTTAAGCAAACTAATTAAACAATTAAACCTAATTAATACCTAATCCTATATTATCTATTGATGATAACAAGATGGATATACAAAATATATGCATCATTTGTTCCAATCATTAAAAATTGTATTTAAAATAATCCACTTTAAATAAGCAATTCCTAAAATATGAAACTGTTGTTGCTGACTAAATTTTTAAATAGAGCTAATATTATACATAAGTTTGAATATTTGAATATTTAAACATATGATCTGAATAAGAATGTAATTACAATACAGATGATGAGGATCAATAGTTAATATAGTATATAATTAGTGTTTTTTTTTTTTTGTAATATTGTTTGCATAAATTTTAGTCGTAGTAAAGTAATATTTTATAAAGTTTAAAGAAATTAAAATGAGGGAAAAAAATTGCAAGACTGCATTAAAAATAAGTTCATTAGAGTTCAGAAAACAGGAAAGACCTCAAATCATAATTAAGTATGTTTTGAAATTCAATTCTCCATACAGACTTATAATGCAAAAATATAATTTAGGGAAAGTTTTCAATTTCAAGAAAGGAAAAACCATCTATATTAATGTAAAATCCAAGGCTTTATAAAAATAGAAACTTTATAAATTATAGTATTTGAAAGTGCAGAATTTTTTACGTAAAAATATAAATTTATTTTCATTTTATACATAAAATTTTCTTAGAGCATTTATCAACAAAATGCAGCATCTTCAACACTTCTACAGTATTCACTTTTGAATGGCCTTGAAACGTAACAAAATGCAAAAATATACAACTGTATAGTCTCGTTGGTAAAAAGTTTCCTGCAAATCTTTATCATCTATTTTATTACTTCTTTTAAATAATTAAAGTTTGAAAAGTCTCCGCAATTTTCATTTTACTGCGAGGAAATTAATAGAAATAAACTATACAAAAATAAATTTACATGAAACACTTAAATTTTACACAGTTGAAAAGAAATTTTTCAATTTAAAATAATTTAGCAGCAGGAAAGTTTATTAAATTTGTAATTTTTACTTACTTTTTAAAAGCTTTTCAATTTTTAATTTAATCATGTAATTAAATAAATAAATTTGCAAATCAAATTTATTATTATTTTTTTTGTTGTTTCTTAATTAGTCATATCAAGAACAACATAACAGAAAAAAGAAAATTAATTTTTTGTTCCATCTATGGTAAACGACGGCTAAAGTAGGTAAGTAGGTATGTAATCAGATGACCTACCATTTCGCTACTCTTCAAACAAATGCACATCTACAATTTACTACCGATATTAATGTTTCTGAAGTGATTATATAAAGTATTTTTTTTATGTTTCACTATTAAATTATTATAACTATTTATAAAAGCACACAAACAGATTTTTTCATGGATTTAAAATATATGCTTACACCACGTAAAAACTGATTTTGTCATCAGACTAAATTACTTAATCATGTAATTACAACAGATTAAACAGTACAACTGTTTTTGTAAGTAAATGAAAAGAAATTAAGTTAATAATAATCAATTTTCTCACATTACATCCAATAAATTACATTGATACAACTTAATGATTAATTTAAAGAAAGTTTATGAAAACTTCATTTAATCTTACTGTATATAAATCGGATATACATTTTAACAAATACTTAATACATTACATTATACATACATTAAATGAATGAAATTTATAAGAAAACAAATGTTTTTAACAGTGCAAAACAGGCCAAAAATTGGTTTGTTTATTAAATATATCCATCGTCGAGTAATGATTACCTACATTACCATACACTTTTTACTCAACAATCCACGGCAGCAGATACATTCCGACATATTTACAAGCCATATCTAATGACAATAAATGGTAAATCATAATGGATAAGGCAGCAACTTTGAAATTAGCTACCTACACACCTTTTTAAATCCCCAAAATCACATTATTCAACGATGCATAAAGCTCTTAAAACTTATAATCAATAGACCTGTACTTAAGACACATCTTTTCCCTCACTGTAAAGGTCTTATTTGTAATTTATAGATACTAACTATCATCGTCGTTAAAATTATGAATTAATTAAGACGAATTAGAGAGAAGACACGTCTACGCGCGTGCAGAAACACTAGGAGACGAGACAATGGTTAGTGTATACGATAAACACTAGTGTAGTGTATGAAGAACGGCTTACCTGTGACGCTTCCAGATGAACAATTTGAGAATCCTGTGAATGTCGGTGGCGCCGATGATGTTTCTTTGGATGTTTCTTGTTAGGTTTAGGGGACATTCCACCACCCACGAACATAGTTGACGTTGTGCGGTTACGAATTGCATAAAAGGAAAGCGGTAATATCTATCGAGTGACGAAAGGAAAGACATTCACGTCCTTCCCGATCGGAAGCTGGAAACCTCTAAACAGCTTTTACTACTAACACGCTGCGCGGTCATTCGTCATCGCTTTTTATAATTTATTTATTCCACTACATCTACCTTTTCTAATATTTCGAAACGTGTAATAAATATTTATATATATTTATTTTTCGTTTTAAATAGGAAATTAAATATGTCATTGGAATTCTTGCGTAATGTAATACATTATTCATTCTTATTGTTTATTGACATAAAAAATTTTTTTTCTCTTTTTTTTCTAATTATTATATTTATAGTATCGTTATTATTATTAGTGTAAATAAGTTAAATAATATAAATTAAATTATTATTATTTTATTTTCGAATTGTTTTCGTTGTATTGTGATTATATTCGTTTCGTATAAAATCGTTACTTATATGAATATACGTTTATTTATTTAATTTTTTTATATTTTTATAAACAAATATATTTATGTGTTTATACATAATAACGCGTAAATAATATAAAAATTATTAATTTTTTATGTAATCATCATCATCATTCAGAAGTTATACTATTTGGCAGCACTGCTGTGCTATAAGGAGAAGCGCGAGTGACGCCGTGTATAATTTTTTAGAACTAATTTTTAAAAAACGCTTTTCGGTTTTTAATACACATAAAAGCCAATTTTAAATAAAAAAATAATGTAAATTAAATTATTTTAAATGGCATTTAACTCATCCCACCATTTTAACGTTAACTAAATACACTTTCGATCACGCGACTATTCCAATAAAACACATCTTTTAAAATTTTAACTTAAAATGTATTCATTTATTCTATAATAATAAAAATAATACAATTTCAATAATTTTCCTTTCAACAGTAAAAATTTAATTATTGTCAGCCGCATACAGAAAGGATCAGTGAACTGTAAAGCGTTACCAGTACCAAATTCCCTTTGGTTTCCGTGATGTTAAAATACTGTATATTGATTTCCCGTTTAAAAAAAAAATATAGAAATCTAAATTCTAGAATAATGTAAAAAACAAAATAAATAGTATAACTATTAACAGTCAATTGAGTTGTGTTTATTAATTGTATCTATAGTAACTATATAAGTAGGCCAGTACCCATATAATCAACATTAGAACAGATCTTATAATGATTTATGAGGTACGATTACGCATTTTTATTATAACTTAGCGTTATATATTTTTATTATACGTGAATTATAATCTGTTTTTTCTTGCTTTTCGCATTTTCGCCTATTTAGAACAGTTTTTCAGATAAAAAAAAAAAAATATGAATATGATTATAGTTTGTTTTAGCTGAAAGAATGAACTTATCCGAAACATCGTTCGAACAATCAATGACTAATTTCCCTACATACATGACTAGCCTGCAGCTAACCGTTAATGCTTATAGATAAGTTTTCTTTTGAAGGATTTATTTGATGGGTTAAGGCAATGCAATACAGGAGCGATCTACCAAACGAATGGCCTTCCAGGAACTCCAGAAGGACTTTTAGCATTAGCAAAAGTTTGCCCTTTTTTGATTCCACATATTGTATTAGAAATCCCTCTCCTAATTATGTAATCTGGCTAGAAGTTTAAATCATTCTCAAATACATTGGAATTATTTTCAGACAATTTTGTTAAGACTGGAGGAAAAATAAATAACGAATGTACTCATCAAAGATTCATCCTCTCTTCTCTCATCGTCAGCAATCATCAGATACAAACAAACCCTCCCTTCCCATAAACTGCTGAAGTAAAAATTTATTGATACAATTGTTTGTTTCTGAGCTTCGCACCCACTGAAAAATTTTCTCCGAACTCCCATGCTCATTCTTATTTCAAGGTTAAGACGGCACGAAATGCAAATTCGACACCTGAAACAATGACATTGGGCAGTGATGATGTAGAAAAGAGATTGATTGGTGCAGTTAATTGAACTTATAACAGCATTGTAAAGAGATTACATCTACATATGAAGTGCTTACGATGAACTATATGGATTTCAGTGCTAATAAGAGATGATGAATAAATAGCAATTTTCGAATTGTATTAGACACAATATAATCCTAAAGAGATTAATGTGTTTTTGTTCGTCAGTAGTCTTATCGTTTTGCACTCAATTAAACTAATTATAATTATAAAAGTTTAATTAATATACGTTTATAATTGCAATGTTCCATTTATAATTAGATGATATCTGATCAGGAAGAGATATGCAACTAAATTCTTTTACGATTAAATACTACGTAAAAAGATATAATATGTACAGATTGAAAATCGTCATTATTTGCAAGAATTAATACAAAATATTAAAGTAACATCCGCCGTCATTTTCTAATATTCGAAGAGATGGGCTAAGGCACATGGATGATCTGCCAATGGGGATGCCTACTCAGAAGATATTCAATAGGAAACTGGCCCCGATTAAGATGAAGTGATTAAGACACGTGAAGAAAACCTGGAAAACTCTGTTACCAACCTGTTGGTCAGGCGCGAATTCAGGATCAAGTATTAGTGTTTTGTCTATTAAGCCATTGATGCACCTCTAGCATTCGGATTTGAGTTCATGAAGAAAGAATAACCTATAAATAAAAAATAGCATTATGTTCTTCGGGATGATTTAATTTCTCAAGTAAATGCTTGAAGATACTATTTATCATTTGAAGATTCAGATTTACAATGTGTTGAAAAAATAGGCTAAAATTAAACGTTAGAAATTCTCGGAAAGGTAACTCACATGTTAACAAGTCGAGAGGGGGAAGGCTGGAGTTTTTGTCGTGGACCTGGGCCTATAGGGGTACCCCAGAGATAGGAATCACTACGACAGTGATTCTTATCCCTGTAAGATAATGTTATTTTAAACCAAAGGCATTGAACTTTTTAGGAATCAGTGCAGGCTCGAGGTACTATCAAACTGCGCTGCCGCAAAAGATGCCGAGTGAAAATGAGTGCAAAATTTACACAGTTATACCCCCGAGTGGTCTGCTACATTGTGTCGCTCGCCAAACCCATAATGCGCACGCTAAAAAAAGACTCTCCTATGTCTATGTGGTGGTTGATACACCACTTAACTTGAGTGTTCGTTGATTTATAAAATAACCGAAGCTTTATATCTCACTATGAAAATTTATTTACAATCACGCATAAGATTTTGTTTTACACTTATTGAGTAAAGTTCGATCGGTTACAAGCATGCGTCGGTACAGAACATTCACTTGTCGTGAGTAGTGTAGCCGAGAGAGAGAAAAAGAATATGGCGGGCGGACTGTACATGTTTTAATAGCTCCATTTGGATTTTCAGATGCAGCGCTAGGTTTCAATTATTCGGCCGCCACAGTCTATAGAGCGGAAAGAGTAAAAAAATCAAGTAAACTTATAAATCATAGCATTGTAACAGCATACTCGTATAACATATTTTGTTACTATATCCTGAATCTACAGTTCCCTAGTTATAAATAATATTTGCAAAATATTCTTTATGTGTATTATTTGAGAAAAATGTTTGTTTAATTTATTAGATCTTGTAGCAATCTATGTAATAATAAAATATTTTATTAACATACCGGAAAAATACATTATAAACATTGTGAATATCATTGTGTATTTCATAAGATCAATAAAAATATCAGGTAGCAAAAAGATTCCTACGGTTTTTTATGGTAAAAGTAAATCTTATGTAAAAAGTGAATAAAGATACTTTATTTACGAAAACAAGCACTTGATTATCGATGATCTCTTGCCAATAAGATACAAGTTTTTGAATGCCATTACCATTGAAACCTCGCTCTTTAGAAGCAAAGAAAGCAGCCAATTCTGTTTCCACTGCCTCTCAGTTTCGGAATTGCGGTTGCACAGGCCTAGAAGAAATGAGTTTTTGCGCAATATCTAGAGATTACGAAAGTTGGGGTAAATTTTCCCTACCGAGACTGTAAAGCTTGTCTTGAATTACTCTGGCATTGTGAGAGAAAGCATTATTTTGCAATACACTGCTCCGAAAACATGTCTATACTTATTCATCACAAAGAAATGTTCATTCAAGAATGAACACTCCTTTGCAATACGTTCTCTGCCGAAATAGACATTCTCAGTGAACTTTCTTAGATCATTGGTAAGAAGTTAATAATGGATGATATCAGATCGACTCCAGACATCGAAAAATTTTGTTAGTGGATCCTGGACTTCGGTGCAAGCAGTACAGATTCACCGGAAAACAATGATATGAACGCTTAGTGCAGACAATGCATTTTTTACCTTATTTTCAACGAACATAATGTCTCATATTCCTGTGGCGTAGAATCGTTGACTGACCTGCAAATCTTAAGTTACTGGAGTTTGTTGTTGGCAGTATTGCATGTGGAACCCAATTTTTCAGCTTACAGACTACCTAAATGACGTAAGACGAAACGAATAATGTTATCATATGCATTGGAATAGTCCTGTCAGCTTTTGGCATCGTTAAAATGATAACATCGAAAAACCACTGCATTTAGTTACCTAATTATTCTACTTTATCGACCCGTTCAGAATCGTTCCCGATCCCCCAGAGCGGTAGACTGCCACCTTGACCGCTCGGTCACCTGACCTTGTGGCAGTCACCTGCCATATAATCTTCATTTATTTTTTTACAATTATTTTAGATATGTGTTTAGTTTTCTGTCTTTTAAATTATCATGAACCGTCCCTTTGCCTTTCTTCTCCCTTTGTCTTTGTGGTTGGAACTTATAGGGAAATTTTGGATCAAATTGCGTAATCAACGGAAAGGATAACTTGTTTGTTTAGTTATGGCAACGCAACACTTGGGCGATCTATCTAGGGAGGGGTGCCTTCCGGGAGGTCTTTTTAAGGGAAACTGCCATCCGTAACGCCTAAATAGGCGTTACGGACCTGGAGAAAACTCGGAAAACTCCACGTGGCCAGTCCGTCCGAGCGAGGCGCGAACCCACAACCGAACTCCCAATGTTCAGGGTACGAAGACCGCTTGGCCACTGGCAGGCCACGAAAGGGATAAAAAGCCAGTAATTGCAGAAAAAAAAAGGAGGAGAATAAGACAGGTGTTGGAAAAATAAAGTGTGTACAGTAGGCCCATAAATGTGGGCGATAAGAAAACTATAGAAGGATAATGCCATCATCTTGAAAAGGGACGAATAGAAAAGAGTACAGAAAAACTTTTGTTCTCGAAGGCTTTTAGGACTGTGTTAGAAAAGAAGTCAAGTAAAGGCATAGGAGGAAGTATGCCATTTTTCCGATTCGAAAGAATTTGAGTAGTTTTAAATCTCTACAGGTAGCCAGCCATTATTTTCAGATTATTTTCTCATACTGTTCTATTACAGTCAACCCGTTTTTTAATTTCTTTCTTTTTAAGCTTATCATGAAATCTTTAATCTTTAAAGATAAAAACAAAGGATAAGGTAATTTAATTGCTGCATTCTGGGTTTTTGACCCTTCATCGTTGTCACGCTTATCTTGATACGCTTACGATGAACTGATTTTACTACTACGTTAATTTTATCTGAGATATCATTTTTCGTTATGAAACGACCAATATTTTATTGTTAAAAATTAAATAAGAATCTTGTATAAAATGAATCATTTGCTTAATGATGTCGTCTTTCGAGACGAGTATGTTCCTATGTTATTTGGAAACGGGCGATCACCACGTTAGAGTGTGGATCAGTTGTCTCTAGTGAGCGCTTTAATCCCGCTTTTAATGTTGAAAAGCACACTTCCCCTATTGCCAGAGTGCTGGAAATAGAGGCAGTATGATCTCGTATGACAGTTGGTCACCCCATCATGAACAGTTGTAATATCTGTGGAAAAATCTTCCACTAGATCAGTGCTGGATGGTATGGCGACACCCTCAGACAACATTTTTCCTGATACGTTTTTCTTAAAAATACAAGAACAAAAGTGTGCGAGACCGCAAAGGAACAAAAGGCAGCAAATTGTAAAGGCCCTTCTTATTTCCATTACTTATTTCATGTACAATTGTGCAGTATTTGCAAGACCTAATTTTATTTTTATTGTCCATCAGGCATTGCGTAGATTAAATACAGTGTCTGTTTCTATGTCTAACCGTTTCGTTGCATACTGTATATCTAAGCTGGGGAAGGTTCTAAAAAATCTAAAAGTCCCTTTAATTCGTAGTGTTATTGCACAGGAGACCGTCCCATTGTTATGATATTGTAATCACTTATTACTATCTTCATTATATTTGAACTCGTGAAGTGTATTTATCAATAGAAATTTTCAATTTGTAAATGCATTCGTAAATACGTTGAACCCAACTAATAATCGTGAGGAATTTCAAAAAACGGATACGAGCATTGTTCATTTAGAGCAACCTATTTACGAATTTTTTCACGGTCATTGATTTTATGGTGAAGGTTCAATAGTTATCAATAATATTATCTGATGAAATTTTGAAATTTTTTTGCAATTAAAAAAATATTCTTATTTTGATTTTATCCATTCATTTTTAAAATTTCTTGGAAATTGGACGAACTGAAAAGTTGAAATTTTGCAAATATATAATGATTATAATTATCTGATGCTGTATAGAAACGAAATTTAGCATAGTAACTTGTATATAAGGGTTTTTTTTTAACTCTCACCCTTGTGGAGACTAAGAGAAACTTTTTTAGCCAAACCTCTTGTGGGTCCAACAAATTCAAACGGACAAAAATCCGAAAAATTCTTAGAGTTTACGACCCATTTGGACTCGTTCTCGGGTCTTCTGCAGAGGTAGGTGTCACCTTAAGTAGGGGAAGGTGGTGCAAGATGGGGGCCATGGAGTAAGATAGGGACGTCTGTTTATTCGCGGTTAACGCGCTTTCATCTAGCTGTTATTTGGGGAACTAAATGTCAACCTCAAAAGGGATCGCGGGACGAGAGAACGTCCGAATCGCTCTCTTTGTTTGGAAGTAAGACAATTTTCCATGTTTCGGCAATACTTCATCTAATTTTACGCCCGCTACAAAGTTTCTACAAAGTAAGCATCATTGCGAACTTTTACATTACTTTTTAGATGAAGATATTATGGTGTTCGAAGTAACCTTTAAAACTGAAATTGTTTAGTTTTGAAATGGTCAATCTTGGGCAAGATGGGGTACCGCCCAAGATTGACCATGAATTCTGCGGCTGGCTAGAGGCACTGCAATATAGTGCAGTAAACTAGTTTTAAATTCGTTGTCATTGATAATTCTATATCATTTTTTCGAATATATAAAATAATAAGTTTAAAAATGATCTTTTTATAGAAAATGAAATATTCCACTTTTAAATCATATCTAACTGTTATAAATTTATACAGTATATACTGTATTACTTTATTCTTTATGTTTTTAGGTTTTATTTTATTTGTGAAAACATTTTTTTAATTTAAATACTATCTTAACAAGAAATAAAATGTGGGATAAAAATCGAAATAAAAATTTTTTTTTCAATGAAAAAAAAAATATCGTCTGCTTAAAAAATAGCGAAACTGAGCATGCGCGAAGTGACAGTATTGTCTGGTAAAGTAAATACGAGTAAGTTCAAATTTTTACATTTATTTATTCGGAAAATAATAATAAATGTAGCCGCTGTGATAAATGGGCGCATTGTTCTTGCGCCAATATTGAAGAAAACGACAGTTTAACCATTTTAATTTCTCCTTCTTGTATATAAAAATACAGTCGACCCCCTATAACACTGTTGATTATTTCGTTTTATATGAATTCCATGTTGTACGAGTCACTTAGATTTTACAAATATATATGCCGGGTTGTGAACGGCTCATGTATTTGTAAAATCTAAGTGACTCGTACAACATGGAATTCATATAAAACGGAATTATCAACAGTGTTATAGGGGGGTCTACTGCTTTATATAAATACTTTTCGAATACTTTAAATAAATTTTAAATAATTTTCGTTATAGAACAGAATTGTGTTGTGTACTTTCTTCGACATCGCTTGAATGTTCGTATTGTGCACTTTCTTCGACATCGCTTGAATGTTTCACTTTCTTTGGTGCATTTTTCTTCACTGAGCCTTTCTTTCCCTTAACACGTTTTCTTCTTGATCTAGTCTGTTTTTCTCCGGGTCTTCTGTTTGCTTTTCGTCTTTGTCTGAATACTGACGTTACACTGTCTTTATGCTTATTTACGAAGTGATAACCACATGCGAATATTATAAGTACAGCAATAAGCAGAATTACTATCTCTTTTCATCCAAATATCTTCGTTAAGAATTTTTTCTTTACACAGGTTCCGTCACTGCAATATAAATATTCATTTATTATATATATATATATTAAAATTAACAAAAATATTTACCTCAGACAAGTCCCGTAATGGTTATCGCAATCAGTTCCGGTCAGTTTTACAAATAAACCGCCGTCTACAAGATAAAGTTTATGATTGTTCTGCAAACATCCGATCCGTTTTTGCAACATATATGACATTCTTTGTGACGCGTAGCGCATTCACAAAGTTTAAAGCCATGATTATCGCAGATACTGCTTCTATATTCGCCTTTAACACAAGTTCCAGCGTTATTAAAACAGGATGTTCCATCGGGTTCGACTTCCCCGGGACAAAAAGGCGATAATCCATCGCATAACGAAGTACCATTAAAACAAATTTCGTTGCTGTAGCAACTCTTCTTTGCCATACTTTGTACAAAAGAACAAGATTGGTCGCAACACATTCCTTTACCGGGCGAACACATTTTACGGTATTGAAGAAAACATTTTATTGATGAACTTTTAAAATACAACACTTCTCAATTTCTTTGCAATCGTCCACTGATGAATCGCAGTCGCACGCTTCTCATTCTTCCACAATTCCGTTGCCGCAGGATGGAAGATTGGCTTCTTTCAAACAGATATCTACGTATAATTAAACGTAGATATATTATAGAGAGATCATTTAACACATTAAACAGAATATATATTTAAGTATTGTTTTAAAAAATATATTTAAAATACTAACTTTTGTCTTTAAGGCGTCTATTCATAGATCTTAAGCAGCATGGTGAAAATTTCCAATTGTTTGGTTTCTTTCTGTAGGGAATTTTTGGATACATGATGTAGTTTCCCATTTGTGGATTCCAGTAATTAGAACTACATTCTTTGTCTTTGAATGCATCATCTTTGCAACCGAATGCGTGTCCCAATTGATGAACTAGATTTAATGTGACTCTAAATCTTGGTACCGTCGTGTTTCTTTCTAGACTGGTCACAAAAGCTACGTTACTCATTTTCTTCGTAGCTGCGTTCACATTGTGACATATTCCACCAATTTTCTTCGCGTCTCCAGTCACGCAATCGTTTCGTTTCCAAAAATCTCTGTGGCAAAAGCATATCAGCATGCAGTAAGGATGGCGATATCGAGATAAAGAATCTAGAAATACGTTGTGATCCTTTGTTTCTATTGATAAAGGATTTCCCAGATCATCTTTGTTTTCGAAAATCGTTATTTTTTCAACATTAAATCCTACTCCGTCAGGTATTCTGTCTTCATTTATGTCGCTTTTTTGAAATATTTCATCTGCAATTCCAATATAATACAGAACTTCAGTAACCACACGCTTATGATCCGAGCTCATATGTTGGAAATAAGTGTAATCGACTAACACTTCCAGAGAGCACATGGTTTGATGACTGAAAGAAAAAAATACAAGATAGTTTAACAGAAAATCTTTAAAATTTAATATACTGAACATTAAATGAATACTGCACTCTATTTTCTAGATGTATAAAATAATTACTTACGATTTCAATGTTTCAGTAACTGGAATTTGTTTACTAAACTGCAAACGATCAGATTTCCTGCGATAGTTAAATCTAAGAAAACCATCATCCCTCATCACTTCGCAGACAGCTTTGCCATCGTCATAAGTCGGTTTTATTGTCACATCTCTCATTCTATAAATGACTCCGGTTTGAATTTGATGATCTTTCACGTGCAAGCGAGGTGGTTCTACCATATATAAATGGGGACCTTCCTGAAATATTAGAAATAATTCCTTTTCGTAAACATAACCGATGACGTTCCAAATGTTCTGATGTATTAATTTTCCTCTCATGACGGGGGATGCGCCTATGTTTCGTAGATACATTTTCTGTAATGCGTTACCTTTATGAATAACAACTTTTGTAGCCGAATACAAGACGGATTCTTGTTCTATCAGACGAAATTCAAAGTCTCTCCCATAGGCGACGAAATTAATTCCATAAACTTTTCTTCCTGTTTTAAGTTCCCCGTGATAAAAGTCGAAATTGAAAACGACTTTATTGTCAATTTTATAAGGGTAGGAAGTCTTATTAGTAAAAATGAACATGGTCAAATCGTGAAAAACAAACAAAACTACAAGAAAAACGCTTAACGAATTCATTTTTTCTCATTATTCGTTCGAAAACATTCGAATCCAAAACAATTCCGTTGGTGGAATACAATTCGATTTTTCAAATAATTTAATAAAATTTAATTGGTGAAATATTTTAGAAATTATTATTCTTACCAAAATGTTTAATTAGTAATTATTAATTTAATAAATACAGTATAAATTAAAAATACCAAACGAACTTTATCCGGCTGTAAAGCTGAATAATTACTAATCTATTTGGTAGGGTGTAGCCGACATCTCTTGTTATCTATCCGGTTATTTGTATTTATTACATAAATTTAAAATATTTTTTCCATCGTTTGATTTTTTTCATCCTGTGAGCGCTAAGAGGACCTTTATTCCATACTCATCGTAGGAAGCAGGCCGATGACCGAATGATTAAAGTGATTTCCTACCGCTCTGGTGGAATCAGCGGGAATGAATCCGGACGGGTGAAAAAACCCCAAATTTTTCGGGGGTTGTCCGTTCCGGATAACTCGGATTCTGTCTTCCACCATTGGACTGTGGGCCTGGTCGAATCAACAAACGGTTTTTTTTTTTTTTTTTTTTTACTCTTGGGTCTTACGTCTTACGTCCTGTGGGCATTAAGAGGGCATCTTTTTAGCAAGCCCATTGGGTTCGGCCAGACCCACAATAGGACGGCCGGGTGATGAGGGACGGTGCCTGACATATCCGGACAAACCACTTGGCCATTGGTGGGCCGACAAACTTCACATTTGCTCCATCCTGCCGAGTTTCCCTAAATTGGCATCATGTATTAAGTTAACATATCATTTACTTAGAGGTAAAAAAAAAGTAAATATCAACAATAAAATATCATAAAGTAGTATTAATGGAAGAAAAGGAAGCTATTATTAAAATAATAATAAAAATAATAGAACAATTGTGAATATACAGTATATATACTGTATAT